ATAGTGAGTAAATTGGAACTTGGAAGCGAAGATTGAGAGTCAAAAAAAAAAAAAAAACATTTTTCTTGCTTTAAATTCGATTTTAACACCTTTTAATTCTGGGGTTTGTGTTTTTTTCAATATATGATTGTGGGTTCTCTTTTATTAAAAGAATTCATCTGAAGTCAAAACCCTCTCTGTTCTTTCTTTAATTTGCATACACAACAAAAGTTCGCATTTTTCTTAGTCGAAATCCATTTTTACGATCATTTGAATTGTGGGTTTTGTTCGTAATTCAATATTACAAATTGGGTTTTCATCATCAAGTGAGAAACTTCGGTTTTGAATGATCAAATTTGGTGAGATTGTAGATGAAGTTTGAGGGTGAGTGCGAGTGCGAGTGCGAGTGTTTCAATTACAAAGCTTTTGCCGGAGAAGATGGACCGCCGGAGTTGGCTTTGGCGGAAGAAGTCGTCGGAAAGAAGTCCCGGAGAAACTGAAAGCTCTGTAGGATCCATTTCTTCTCATTCTGAGAGATTTTCCGATGATCAGGTTTGTTCAACATTTCATCTCTAAATTGCTTTGTAAACCTGTAAGTAACATGTACAACCATAATAGCCAATGGTACAACATGTCAACATCCATCTTCATCTCTGATCTTATACTTCATTTCTTTCCCTTGACAATGTTATATCATCTCACATTTTATCTTAAAAATCGACATGAATCCACTTGAAATTTTCGAAAAAAAACATAAATATATGCAAAACGACAAAATTTAGTAACAAATTGATATGCAAAACAGCAAAAGTTCCTGATTTCATACGCAATGTGAATTTTAAAAATAGTTCGACGATTTCTTTGTTCCTTGGCTAATTTCAAGTTTCAGGTAATCAAATTTCAAGAAAACCGTGTCTTATAGGAATCGAAATGGATTGAATTACTTGCAATGTGCTCTAAATTGTCAAACTTGCAAGCTAAAATTACTTATTTGCCCCTATTTTGGCAAGATATACTTGAATCAGAATTTGCAATCGCTCGAAATTGGATCAAAATCAGACCCACGTCAAAGCGAACATAATCATGACGTGAAGACACTTTCAGAGAAATTAGAGGAAGCTCTTGCGAATATTAATGCCAAAGAAGAATTGGTAAAACAACATGTCAAAGTAGCAGAAGAGGCTGTTTCAGGTATATACACCGTTTGACTTTAAAGGTCAAACAATCTGCTTATAAAATACAAATCTAATATCAAAATTTCTTAAATTTAACATAAAAATGGTAAAATGTAATCTAAGATTTCATACGCTGTAAGAAATATATCAAATTTTCTCTTGAAATGCTAAACTCGATCTTAAGCTTGAAGTTAAAGTTTACTTTGTTTGACATTAGAAGTCAAAATTGCAGCTTATATGGTTGGCTAATCCATGTATTGAATTGAATTTGAGAAAAGTGATGTAAATTCTAATCAAACAATAATTTTGTTGGATTTTTTTTTTTTGTGTTAAGGATGGGAGAAAGCTGAAAGTGAGGCGTCTTCATTAAGGCAACAAGTTGAGATTCTAAATGTCAGAAACTCGACTCTTGAGGATCGAATTCTTCAACTCGATGGTGCCTTGAAAGAATGTTTGAGACAACTTCGACAAACACGAGAAGAAAAAGACCAAATTGCCCATGAAGCTCTCGAAAAGAAAAACTCGGAAACCGAAAGTTCTTCAATCTCTGTTGACGTTGACCTTCTTCGTAAGCTTGAAATGTCAGAGAAAGAAAACTCGGATTTAAAGCTCGAGCTTTCATCAATGGCAGAAGAGCTTGAAATACGACTCATTGAAATGGAATTAAGCAACCAAGCTGCTGAACAAGCTAGTAAGCAACTTCTTGATAGTGTAAAGAAGGTAGCCAAGTTGGAAGCTGAATGTCATAAGCTAAAATTTTCTCTTGAAAAAGGTAATGATCATCAAACAAAAGATCGAAAAATTCCATCTATAAATGAAAGAAACCGAGTGGAATCGTTTGTGGAGATCGATCTTATGGATGACTTTCTTGAAATGGAAAGACTTGTAGGATTGCCTGAAAGTAATGAAGTTGAAGAGAGGTTAAAAAAAGAGCGTGAAGATGAGGTTAAGGCATCAAGAAAACGGCTTGAAGAAGCTGAGTCTAATTTGAGTGAGCTCGAAAACGAGCTTAAGACATCAAGAGAACGGCTTGAAGAGGCTGAATCTAAGTCAGTTAGGCTTGAAAACGAGCTTAATGCATCCAGAAACCGGCTTGAAGAATCCGAGTCCAAGTTGGGTAAGCTTGAAAATGAGCTTAAGCCATCAAGAAAACGGCTCAAAGAAGCTGAATCTAAGTTGGCTGAGTATGAAAACGAGCTAAAGGCATCAAGACAACGGTTTGAAGAGGCTGAATCTAAGGTGCATGATCGTGAAAATGAGCTTAAGGTATCAAGAAATCAGCTTAAAGAGACTGAATTCAAGTTGGATGAGTGTGAAAAAGAACTTAGGGCATCAATATATCGACTTAAAGAAGCTGAAACAGAGTTGGAAGATCGTGAAAACGAGCTTAAGCCATCAAGAAAACGGCTCGAACGAGCTGAATCCAAGTTGGCTGAGCTCGAAAATGAGCTTAAGACATCAAGATACCGGCTTGAAGAGTCCGAAGCCAAGCTGGTTGTAAATGAAAACGAGCTTCAAAAGGGTGAGTTCAAGTTGGCTGAGGTTGAAAACGAGCTTAATGCATCAAGAAAACGGCTTGAAGAGGCCGAATCTAAGCTGGCTAAGCATGAAAATGAGCTTGAATTATCAAGATACCAACTCGAAGAAGCTGAATCCATGTTAAGTGAGACTAAAAGTCGGCTAGAAATGGCTGAATCGAGACTCGAAGCTATCTACATAAAGAAAGAAGAAGCCGAATCACGAGGTAAGGCATTAGAATCCGAGCTAGAAATCTTGCTTATCAATCATGAAAAGGAACGGGATTTATGGGGAAAATCGGAAGCCAAGTGTCGGCAACTTGAACACAAGGTAACAAGACTACAACACGAACTTCGTGGTAGAAAATCGGTAAATCCTCCAGAAGAGCTCCGATTCCGAAGAACGAAACAGGTGAAATTACTTACAAAGTCTTAATTTCGAATTATGATATTACTAAAAATATCATAGCAACGGATAATTCATCCGTTGCTGACGATATAGGATTAAAAAACTAATCCTATATCGGCTCGATAGGGAATAAAACATTTCCTATATGAGTTTGAATACCTCTCCTTTAAAGAGGTATTTTAAATCCATGAGAATAATTAATCCCATTAGAACTCTACAATTAAACGTGTTCAGTAGGAGAACAATTAACAGTACTATGATGGATGACTGTCTTAGGAAGTCCTCATCCTCATGTGGGCCTAAGATTCCACACTTTTTTTAGCATTTCTAAATCCGTCACAACATTTTAGCAATGGATTTGTGTGTCATTACTTTTTTTTTCTAGTTTATTTTAGCACAAATTGAATTTAATAATGTGATATTTGCAGGACAAAGAGTTAGCAATGGCTGGAAGTAAATTTGCCGAGTGCCAGAAGACGATCGCATCTCTTACTAGGCAGTTAAAAACACTCGCAACAATTGATGACTTCTTGATCAATTAACAAATGATGATTCGAGTTCTCTAAACAATAAATTTCACTTTTGTTCGATTCGGATATAGAAAATACATGTAGGAAAATGAGTTTTGATTCCCCGGGTACTATTCTTGATATGGAGAGGATGGATAACAATGTTTTTTTTTTTCGTACATTTGTATCTATTTATATTAATAACGTACATTTTCATAGATTTGTATCTATTTCTATAAATAATGTGTTGTTGCACATATAAGTGTCTATGTTGTTTGTTTAGAATCGAGGTAATGTCCAAATCAGTGTCACGGACTTATGTATGAGAGGAAGTGTTAATGCGATGATGGTTGCAATCATTGGTTTGAATTAAGAGACAAGATTGTCCCACAATGGAAAATAAGTGAATGGAATTGGTGACAATGGAATTAGAAGGATTAGAGAGGACTTTTGGTGTCCCTTGATGCCGGAGTTGATTTCGGGTATGAGAAACGAGAATATGCATCCATGCAACTTTCATATGTTGTACTTTCTCGTTTTATGAAAATAAAATATTTTCCAAATGGTAAAGAAAATAGATAAATGTTTGGTGCATATGCTTTTTGGGATATTTGTCGGAAAACTTTTATGTTCTCAAGTTAATTTAAGAAGTGGAATGAAAAGGTTTGGAAGTAAATCACAAGGAAAATATAAGTAAATCACAAGGAAAATATGTTCATGAGTTTTTTTTAAGATTGGATGAAATGGAAGGGGGAAGCAAAATATGTGTCTTTTTCGTTCACCTACTTTTTGGGTGGGATGTGAGGGGAAGTCTAGAAAAAGTTGAAATACATTCATTACATTCGATGAATTTACTCTAACTCAAAAACACAATGAATTATTTGGCTCTCTTTCATTTCTTTCCATTCTCTCCTCTCTTTTGATTTGGGGAGCGGGGGTTTTACAGTTGGGCATGCCGTTTTGAAAGTTGTTGCGTGCAAAGTTGTAAAGCACGAAAATGCATATATAGAAAATCAACATGTGTTTGTATATTTTGCATTCGATACATTTGGTTTTCTCGCACCTCCTCAATAGAGCCCAACGGGTCATGCATTCTAATATCATATTTCCTATATCCACAAATGTTGTTTTCAAAAAAATTGGTTTTACTATTCAGAAAGAGCTAGCGGCACAACTTGTTGCCCGTTTGCCTTCAATCAATGTGTATTAAACATTTATGTTGGATTTAATATAAAAATAGGTGGAGAAAGGGTAATTTGTGCACTCATGATCAAAACCTTGTTCTTCCTAAATACATGTATTATGAATACATAATACATGAACAAAAATAGAAATAAACATCAATCGGATCCCATAAAACCTCCAAATAAGGATTCCAATCCCATAAAATTCTTTTAATTAAGAATAATCAAAACTTCTTTTAATTAAGAATAATCAGTAATATATGCAATCAACATCCTCGTCAGTAGGTGATAAGGAGAAACCAAAATAGGATACTCGAGGTAAAACTTTAAAAAAAATTAAAAAAACAAAACGCGTTTGGGGTACAATCATAAAAAAGCTAAACCAAAAAGTTTTTCGAATCTGAATTTTGGGAAACAACGAAACTAGTGAAAGATCTAAAAATGGTAAAATTAAAAAACACAATGAAAAATACAGAATAAAAACAGAATTTTTTTTATAGAAATGGTAAAATCGAGTAAACTTTATATATATATATATATATATATATATATATATATATATATATATATATATATATATATATATATATATATATATATATATATAGAGAGAGAGAGAGAGAGAGAGAGAGAAAGAGAAAGAGAGAGAGAGTTACGTTTATATATGGATAGAAATTTATTATGTGGATGTATGGACAATGTTATTCTGTGAAAATAACTAAGGGAATATGTTGTTTGATAATATAAATACGTTAATCTCACATAAGTATTTTTATTATCATGCATTCCTACTAATTAGATCATCAACAAGGATATTATGGATTTTTATTATGATTCTCATTCCGCCGGAATATGTTCTTAATAATTGTATTCTATAAAAATGAGAATCAATTAAAAAAGTGTAAAAATAATAATAAATAACGATTATTAGGAATGCATGATAATGACGATAATTATGTTAGTTTGAACGTATTCACATTAGCAAACAATATATTCTCTTAATCATTCTCATAGAAATAATGTTGTCCACACACGTCCGAATAATAGATGTCATCCACATTTTAACCTAGCTCATATATATATATATATATATATATATATATATATATATATATATATATATATATATATATATAGACACACACACACACACACAAGGTCGGATGCAGGATTTCATACTATGTGTGTAACACACGTATAATTCAAGCCAATTTAAAAATTTTTAAACATTTAAAAGGCATTAAGTTATTACAGTTTACTCTAGAATCAGTCTCTTCAGGGTTCGCACCCTAACTCAATTACTAGCTCAAACGTCCACAGCTGAACTGCAGCAACTGAAACAACCTCTGCCCTAAACCGGGCTACAACTACTCCCAAGACATAATCTACAATCCCAAATGTGCAATAGATTGTACAATCACACCTTACCGTCTGATGCAAGATATCCAAGGCAAACCAGAATCCACACTTACTTATGCCAAGTCGACCCACCTGCGCTCACCAGCGCTAAAATAATGTTGCCAACCTCTGCAACCGACTGACCCCAAGCTAGAAAACAACCTGCCCCGGGTCACAGGTCTGCTCACTCCTTTGAGCTCGAAAAACTTAGAGGGCACAATCCTTAACCTACCAAACGTCAATCCAATTCATCAATTAGACATTCCACTTCCAACTGCAAAACCCCAGCTGAACATAATCATCACTCCTTTCCATTGTCCCTGCGACGCACATTCCGGTCTCGAGCAAAACCCCCGAGCCTCAATCTAGAAACCCACAAGCTAGTCTTTCCCGCTCAACCCGCGAAAATATAACGAGTACAGGTCATCTTCCTACTCCCAGATAACTGTATCCCTCTGCTCATCAGATTATGCACCAATAACAAGTCCCGGTTTTGGAAAGCTCGTCCAGCTCCTCTCCTTGCCTTCGTTACAACTGTTGAAGCTGTTGCGGTAGCCGTCTCGGCAATGGCTGCATAATGCTCATCGAAATACTCAACCATGGCGGTCTTAATAGACTGAAACATCCCCAAAAACTATTCCCGGACAACCCCGATCACCTCCTCTATGATGATCTCACTAACACGGTCCTCTGATAATGCGGGCCTATCCTGGCTGCCAGCTCCCGATCCAAACCTGGATCCGGTCTCAAGATGTCTTGTAACCACCATTCTGGTAATATACCAGAAAGATCTCTGATAACCCATATAATGACAAGAACCAATTCCCAACCAAACCCTAGGGGTTGTGACTTCCTTGCTACGCATACGGGTCCAGTGCTTTCAGTAGTACGGTCCCATACTACCTTCCACACCTACCCATATTTTTCTCAAGTATCATCACAATGCCCTAATAATATACATAATCAAAGCGAGCGCTCAAACCCCACTCCTAGAAGAATGCTAAACATCTCATAACTTGCCTCCCAGCCTCTCACAACCCACCCATGAAACTTCCACCAACCTTGCAGCCCTCGTATATGCTAACCATACTTAACGTTGGACCCTATAGACTTTCGAATACTCGGTCCTACTCTAAGCCCACAACCAGACAAGGAACAGGAAATAAAGCCAAACCAAACATTCTCAGGCTATAAGATCTTAATTATGTACAGTCGTGATGCATATACTAAGCAACTACAATAATGATGTCAATTTCATATAAGGAAAAACCCTAAGCTATCAGGCATCATGTAATCAGGAAATTCTATCATGCAATTCCTGAAGATCTCTAGCCTAGCACTAGCATGCTATTCTAACATATTACATAATCAAATACTGTATGGTATTTTGGGGTCTATCTGTGAGCTCCGTCTGATCGTACACTGCATCCTCCTTTATCATTTGAAAACCATTTTAAAATCATTTTAAAATCTTTCCCTGATTTGAGACTGGATTCACACGAGTGTTCCTCCAATTCACTCAAACCTGACTCTGATACCAACTTGTAACACCTGTATAATTCAAGCCAATTTAAAACTTTTTAAAACATTTAAAAGGCATTAAGTTATTACAGTTTACTTTCAAAATAATTTAAACATCAGAGTATTCCTAGAGTCAATCATGAAAATGTAAGGAGGTGCACGATCACTAGGGATGTCAAAAACCCCCGTGGGACCCCGATCCCGTACGAGACTAAATTTAAAAAAAAAAAAAAAACCGGGAGCAGGGGCAGAATTAAACCCCGCTTATTTTCGGGACCGGGGTTGGGAGTTGGTATTTTCGTCCCGTACTCCCGCGGGGGCCCCGGTTGTAAATTTATGTAATATATATATATATATATATATATATATATATATATATATATATATATATATATATATATATATAATATAAAATACATATACAAAATAAATTTTCTAATTTTAGGTGTAGGTTAGGTTTCACTTTTCCGTTTTCAATTAATAGATATTGAAGATGTAGTGAATTGATCATATATTTTTGGATATGTAAGTATTTTATATTTTTAATATTGGATTTTTCATATTTTATATTTTTAAGATTGTTGGAATTGTCGTTTTGTAATGTTGAATTCGTAATGTTGGATTTTTAATTTTTTAGTTTCTAAAAGACTACGCTTTAAACTTTTAAAGTTATTAAAAATAGGCTTTTTAGCCTAAACCAAAGTAGTTGTCTAGCAAAAAAAATCGAATTTTAAGTCTATAAATCGGGGGACCGGGAGCGGGACCGGGGGCTATGTAAACCGGGGAGCCGGGGGCGGGACCGGGAGCGGGGGCAACAACTAATTTCGGGGGCGGGAGCGGGGGCAGCTATTTCCGTTCCCGTTGACATCCCTAACGATCACGCCTTTGTGTGCCCGCGGTCATCAGAAGTACCTGAAACAAAATCAACAATTGTAAGCCCAAACCTTAGTGACTTTCCCCAAAATACCAACGCCATACATATATAACCATATCGTATAAACATATAAGAAAACAACAAACAACATGCATAATGAGCCATCAGTCTGACTGGACCGACTCCAGGTCCTCAGCCTATCTGGACCGCTCTCCGAGCCATCGGCACGTCTAGACCACCCCCCCCCCCCGCCTCGGGGCCTTCAGCCTATCCGGACCGCTCGCTGGGCCTTCGGCCTAACTAGATTTGCCCGACCCGGGCTTGCAGTCTACCCGGTCCGCCCGGGTTGTCTTGGCACTACAGCACACAGCAGGACCTGCCTCAACCCTTCCCCATACCAATAAACATGTGCACATCAGTATCGTACGCTAGCATGCAATAACAAAGAGTCATACAGATCTAACTGATCTCTAGCATAGACACATTCCTACAACCAGGATATCAATCAAACAAATTAATAGCATAAC